GTGGTCCTCTCACTGTTGCAGAAAGAACACCGGCAGTTCCACCCATGTCTCTTTTAGGAAAAGGAATATTTTGATTTTTGAGAAATCTCACTGCACCCCGGAGTAACAGCTCAGGTTACAGTGTGAGAAAACCGCCCTGCGCCCGTGAAGTAACGCCTTTTACCCCGCGACAACCAGGGATCTGCTCCAACAGCCCTCCGCTTGCTCGGCCTGTTTAAGAGACTCGAGAGAGATGCTGGGACAGAGGCACTGGGGCGCTCTGACCTGCAACCACTGTCATCTTTCACTTGACTCTTTTTTTAAAAAAGTGTTCTATTTGGTTGCGAATGACTCGCGGCGTGTCGCAGATGCGGGCACCGCGTGGTCGCAGCTCTGCGTGGAAACTGTGTGGAGGCCTGTGAAGAGCTTAACCACATCGCCTTTGTAAAAAAAACACATTTTCAATCTCTCCAGCAAGAGGGATCGACGTCTTTAATTTTGTTTTCACTGTGCAAACGTCTTGATTTTCCAGCGTCAGGGTTTTTTCTAACTCGCTCGACACCTCCTCCGTCCCAACACGCTCCCTCTCGGGCAGATGAGTTCCCCGTGCGCACATCAGCCAGGCGAGAACCACTGATCTCACTTCTTCGGTCAGGCAGCTCAGAAACCGGGGCGCAGGCGAGCGACAGCCCAGTCGGTGACCACAGGGCCAGACAGAGGGGGCTGTGCGCGAAACAGAAGCCAGAAAGAACAACTCCACAGCGGGCAGACTTCATCCAGGATACGACACCCAACACCACAAGTATCTTAAAAAAGCAGCTTTCTTGTGGGATTTAACAGGCGGGGTGGCACGACGCTTTTCCGATAATGATGCGAGAAAAAACCAACGCGTATGTGCAAGAGTAGTTTAACGCATACGGCACACATAGCGGGCTGAGGGGAGATTTCCCTTTGGCTCAACGGGCTGGGTCCCTGTTGAGTGACGCTGGAGGCCCGGGTTCGAGTCGCCGCGGTGGGGGGGCCGATCTGAGGCGGCAGCGGCGAGGGCGCATACCCACGTGAACCCGAGAGCGCTACAGTATGAACAAATATACAAAAAAGATCGTAAAAATTAACTTACTTGCAAGGCTTAACCCTCTTCAAGTAACAATAGGGAGTCAAACGAAGTATTAATATAAATTAATTAAGTAATATTATTTGAAGACAAAAAAAACCCCAGTAACCTCTGGGATTTAACACTGCAGAAGGAGAACGAATGAATTTTCTGTTTTGAACTGAGCCTTGGGCAGAAACACGGTACCCCGGGGCAACGGATACCTGAGGCGGCGCGTGGCCGCAGGACGTCCCTTCCCACAGGTGATGTCTCAGGGCGTCCAGAGGCGTCGCCCACCTCACCAGGACGCCCTCCGGCTGGCTCTCGCGAGGCAGGAACGTCCCGCTGGGGTGCCGGCCGGGTCTGGACCTGCAGAGACGAGCGGGTCTCCCACACCCCCACCTCTTTC